CACCAGGCCACCCAGATATGTAAACAACCTATGCTATCCGGACCAGGCCAACCAGGCACAGATGGGAATAGCCCATAGGACATATCAGGACCCGCTGCAGTTTGCTTATCGCCATGGAGTTGGAGTTGAAGATGCCGTCATCCAGCTGCTTCAACCAATCCACTGTCATCTGGACGAAGCAGGCAGCACTGTGAGGGTCATGTTCTTTGATTTCTCCAGTGCATTTAACACAATCCAGCCTGATGTACTTTGCCAGAAACTCCAGAAGACACAGGTGGGGGCCTCAACTATCGCCTGGATTAAAGACTACCTGACAAACAGATCCCAGTTTGTGAGGCTGAAGAACTGCACATAAAACCAGGCGATCAGTAACATTGGAGCACCACAGGGGACTGTACTCTCACCATTCCTTTTCACCCTGTACACCTCAGACTTCCAGTACAAATCAGAGACCTGTCATCTACAGAAATACTCAGATGACTCTGCAGTTGTCGGGTGTATCAGAGATGGACAGGAAGCTGAGTACAGAGAGCTGGTGGAGTGCTTTGTGGCATGGTGTGGAAACAGTCATCTGACCTTGAACGTGAACAAAACAAAGGAGATGATTTTAGACTTCAGAAGAAACAGGGTGGAGTCAAACACTGTTTCCATCATGGGAGAAGAAGTGGAGGTGGTTGAGGAATACAAATACCTTGGAGTTCACCTGGACAACAGACTGGACTGGAGAAAGAACAGCGAAGCCGTTTACAAGAAGGGACTCAGCAGACTGCACTTCTTGAGGACGCTTAGGTCCTTCAATGTCTGTAGCAAGATGCTGCAGATCTTCTACAAGTCTGTTGTTGAGAGTGTAATCTCTTCAGCCATCGTCTGTTGGGGTAGCAGCATCAGAAGCAGGGACCTGAAAAGGCTCAACAGCCTTATAACAAAGGCTGGTTCTGTTCTGGGGACGACTGTGGAACCACTGGAGGAGATAATGCAAAGAAGGATTCTCCAGAGAATCAAGAAAATGATGGACAACCCTGAGCATTCTCTTCACAAGACTGTCCGACAACGGAAAAGTGTCTTCAGTCAGAGGCTTCTTCAGTTTGGCTGCAACACTGACCGCTACTGGAGATCCTTCCTGCCAACAGCCGTTGTAATATACAACACCTCTTTGATGACTTGATTATTATTATTATTCTGAGCTACTACAGCAATCAGTTTCCCTCTGGGATTAATAAAGTATTTTTGAATAGAATTTGAATTGAACTGAATTGAATTGAATTTATTAGTCCTCCATGACAACCCAGGGTCCAGACCAACAAGCAGAGTTGAAGTTTAACACACCCCACTGCAGCTTCAGTACTGTTACTCACCCACTACCCCATTGAGACAGTGTCCTGCCCAGCAACGACTTTATGGGATTTTTCCCATAAAATTAATTTTATTAGAAACAAAACCATTAGCATCCTCCCTAATGTGATTTCTTCTTCCTCAGTAAATGATGCAGCATCAGAGGTAACTGTAGAACCTCATCTGTGTTTGAACTATTTTGATTCAGTGTGTGTGTGTGTGTGTGTGTGTGTGTGTGTGTGTGTGTGTGTGTGTGTGTGTGTGTGTGTGTGTGTGTGTGTGTGTGTGTGTGTGTGTCTTCTCTATCCCCAGTGAGTAATGGCAAATGGCTGCTTATACTGAGCCAGGAGGTCTGGAGGTTTCTTCCTATTTCCTCTCCATTGTTGCTATATGCTTGTGTAAAGTAGACAAGTCCTGCTTCATCAGTGTGCCATCCATGAAATTGGTGGTGTCATGACACCCAAGACCAGGATAATAAAATTATTCTTATTTTTTTCATAATGTTTTTTCCTAACTTAAGCAGTTATTTACAATCAAATTCCATCCATCCATCTGTTTTCAACAACTTATCCAGAGTCAGGTCGCAGGGGCAGCAGCCTAAGTAAAGAGGCCGAAACTCCCCTCTTCTCAGCTACTTGGGCCAGCTCCTCCAGGGGAATCCCAAGGCATTCCCTGGCCAGCCGAGAGACACAGGCTCTCCAGCGTGTCCTGGGTCTTCCCTTGGGTCTCCTCCCAGTTGGACGTGCCTGGAAAACCTCACCAGGAAGGCATCCTGGCCAGATGTCCGAGCCACCTCAACTGGCTCCCACTTGATGTGGAAGAGCAGCGGGTCTACTCCAAGCTCCTCATGGATGACTAAATGTCCCACTCTATTTCTAAGGGAGAGCCCAGCCACCCTGCGGGGAATACTCATTTTGGCTTCTTCTATCTGTGAGCTTGTTTTTTCGGTCACTACCCAAAGCTATTGACTAAAGGTGAGGGTAGGAATCTACACTCACCTAAAGGATTATTAGGAAAACCTGTTCAACTTCTCCTTAATGCAACTATCTAATCAACCAATCACATGGCAGTTGCTTCAATACATTTAGGGGTGTGGTCCTGGTCTAGAAAATCTGAACTCCAAACTGAAAGTCAGAATGGGAAAGGGACGATTTTAGCTATTCTGATCGTGGCATGGTTGTTGGTGGCAGATGGGCTGGTCTGAGTATTTCACAGTCGGCTCAGTTACTGGGATTTTCACCCACAACCATTTCTAGGGTTTACAAAGAATGGCGTGAAAAGGGAAAAACATCCAGTATGCGGCAGTCCTGTGGGTGAAAATGCCTTGTTGATGCTAGAGGTCAGAGGAGAATGGGCCGACTGATTCAAGCTGATAGAAGAGCAACTTTGACTGAAATAACCACTCGTTACAACCGAAGAATGCAGCAAAGCATCTGTGAAGCCACAACACCCACAACCTTGAGGCGGATGGGCTACAGCAGCAGAAGACCCCACCAGGTACCACTCATCTCCACCACAAATAGGAAAAAGAGGCTACAATGTGCACAAGCTCACCAAAACTGTACAGTTGAAGACTGGAAAAATGTTGCCTGGTCTGATGAGAATGAGAACATGGATCCATCATGCCTTGTTCCTGCTTTGCAGACTGCTGGTGGTGGTGGTGTAATGGTGTGGGGGATGTTTTCTTGGCACACTTTAGGCCCCTTAGTGCCAATTGGGCATCGTTTAAATGCCACGAGCTACCTGAGCATTGTTTCTGACCATGTCCATCCCTTCATGTCCACCATGTACCCATCCTCTGATGGCTACTGTCACGATATGAGGATGGTTAGGACCCAAAATACGAATACCCAGGATGACACAAGGCAGGAGTGAAGATAAGAAAAAAATCCTTTATTGGATGAGCCAATAAAATAAAATAAATCCAAAAGCTGGGAGCCAAAAATCCAAAAATGTCCAATTACTGAACTAGAGACCCAAACACTAGAGACTAGAGAAGACTGATCCAAAATAGAGAAGACTGACGGAATACCACAATGGACCGGCACAACACAGAGACACGGCAGGGCTTATATACACTGGGAGGAGCAATTAGGGAAACAGGCAGCAGGTGTGTGGAGTGAGGGCTGGAGGGAAAGCAGGTGAATACAATTTTCTAAATGGTGAACAGAACCAGAGGAGGGCAGATAAACCTAAAACTATAAAACACAAAACTAAACCTAAAGACTGAGGGAAGGACTACACACACACACACACACACACACATGCACACACACACACACACACACACACACACACACACACACACACTGAAATAAGAGACCGTTAGAAACTGAGGTGGGGAGACTAAGAGACATGAAGAAAACCAGGAGGGAGCTGGGGATGACTGAATGAACACAGGACCTGGGAGGAATGATTTAAAGGGCTACAAACAGAAGACACATAAATGAGACGCAGACAAAGGACACATGAGGGCGCTATGAAACACAAAAGGGGAATCTAGAGAGGGATGGAGAACACCAGGAGACACATGAGGGAAGACGCAGACGCAGACCATGACAGCTACTTCCAGCAGGATAACGCACCATGTCATAAAGCTCCAATCATTTCAAACTGGTTTCTTGAACATGACGATGAGTTTACTGTACTACAACGGCCCCCACAGTCACCAGATCTCAACCCGATAGAGCATCTTTGGGATGTGGTGAAACGGGAGCTTCGTGCCCTGGATGTGCATCCCACACATCTCCATCAGCTGCAAGATGCTGTCATATCAATATGGGCCAACATTTCTAAAGAATGCTTTCAGCACCTTGTTGAATCAATGCCATGTACAGTTAAGGCAGTTCTGAAGGAGAAAGGGGGTCAAACACCGTATTAGTATGGTGTTCCTAATAATCCTTTAGGTGAGTGTATGCTTCCAGTTGGTAAAATCATGAGACAGCATGGGATAAACTTCCACTGCTATGCTGATGATACTCTGGTATATTAATCCATAAACCCAGATGGACCTAATCAATTAGGTAGATTACAGACGTGTCTTTAAGACATTAAAATCTGGATGACTCTAAATTTTCTGCTGTTAAATCCAGACAAGACTGAAGTTGTCATCTTCGGACCAGAACCTCAGAAAAGGAAACTGCTTGGTCAATCACCTGATTACAACTGCTGTACTGGGTCTATATCTGTATGTACAGTCTATGATCTGTATCTAAACAGTTCTGATCATATCTACAGGTTTGAACATTATTCTGTATGTGTCTGTAAGAAATGTTTTTGTAGATGTTTCCAGTTCCATCAGCTTTAGGATGAGGTGTTTATCAGTGTTTTTCTCACAGAAAGCTCCAGGATACTACTGCATGTCAGCCTTCATAAAGAAACAAAAGCCCATGCTGACAGGAAGCTGTATGCTCTAAAATCAGTCTAACTCATAGAAGTCCTTTTTGTCATTTATAAGTGTTTCGTGTTTTATTTTATGGAGCTGCCGTATAATTTAATTACACCAATCAATGCAGGAAATCTGATATGATAGCTGCTTTTGCTGTAAATTTATTTCCTCAATTCCTGTGATGAGGCGGTCATTTCTGAAAGTGGGTTATTAATCATGCTAGACAGCTTTCTATGACAATGAGCTCTTATCAGTTGTACTTTGCCACCATCTATTAGTCATTAATGAATATAATATAAATAAGATCCATCTGTGGTCCGGTTTGGAGTCTGCATCTCTTCATCCTGAAGACAGGTAATGGCACCATGTCTGGGTCTGTGACCGTTTAGCAGCAGGTTGCTTACGTGTGCACGTCGTTTGCTTTGACTTCCAGAGGAGAACGCATTTAGTTCTCTTTCATTAGCAGCAACAGTTTGGGATCCAGCAACAAAACGTTTTCATGATGACATTTTATTAATCCATCTCTAAATGCTTTTAGTTCACAGCTTTAATAAAAAGTTTGACCAAATAAAAATGGAAACTAGTTTCCATTAAATGTTCATGTCTTCTCATCACTTTTTCCTAATCATTCACCATTTCAGATCTGCAGCAGTTAGGTGGCCGGAGCCTGAAACGGAAACATGCTGAAACTACTCACAGGTAAAGATCATCATCTTGTCTGAAGTGGCTTCTGTAGGAGGCGCATCAGCTACTGGCATCTGTTTTTATAAAGCAAACTTGTTCTAGTGATGAACCCCATCACGTATTCACATCATACATGTGATATCTAACCTGTCATGTTTAGTGGATCCTAACCAGGGCCACAGTTACTGCTGTGGTTCACCTTCACTCTGTTGGTAACCTGTGGTGTGTTTATGGAACCAGACTAACGTCAGATAAGAGTAGAGTCTAGATCAAAGTCCAAACACATAATCTCTGGATGTCTTTTCATGATGCTGATGATCACATTTCACAGGAATAAAGATCAGATTATTATTTTAGAATCATCACGGAGACAGAACTGATGTTCACTGAAAACACGTCCTATGTAGTGTTGCTGCTCGATCACATAAAGTCCAACAGATATGAAACCATAAAGAAAAAGTCATTTCTACATTTGCGTCTGGTCTGTGAGTAGGGCTTGGTTGTGTAGTAACAACGGGTCTGTGCTTGTTTCTTCCTGTAATCTCATCGGCTTGTTTGTTTTACAGTTGTGGGCATCCTGCTCACCGTGCACTTGGGTAAGGACCGTCTGTAAAAACCCCATTCTTCTTCACAACATGGTCCTTTTCAGCAAAGCAACAATGAATGTCTCTCCTTCTGTCTTCAGCTACATCCAATAAGCTGGTGTGTCACATGACCAACTGGGCCCAGTACCGACCCAGCAGTGCCAAATTCACCCCTGACAACATCGACCCGTTCCTGTGCACCCACGTCGTCTACGCTCTGGCCACCATCAACAGCTTCAACCAGATCACCACCATTGAGTGGAATGATCAGGAGCTCTATGGCAGCCTCAACAGCCTCAAAAACTAGTAATTTATTCATCACCAACACTCCCACTAACAGCAACTTAACAGCTTCCTGCTGACCAGCTCAGTGGCTTAGTGATATGAGTGTCCGCCCTGAGACTGGCTCATCGGAGTTCAAATCCAAGGTCAGGTCACACCAAAGGCTCTAAAAATGGGACCCAATCCCTCCCTGCCTGACACTCAGCATAAAGCAAGATTGAGGGGCTAAACCACCAATTATTTCCCGAGCATGGCCGCGTCTGCAGCTTACCGCTCCCCCAGGGATGGATCGAATGCAGAGAACAGCTAATGGGATTTTAATGTTAACATCAGATTGAGCTCATTCTTCATTAGATGGATTTTTAGTGAAACATAAGAAACCTTTGATAGTAATTTAGGTAAAAGATGGTGTCTAGTTAAACTAGCAGTAACAAGGTGTGGAGTGTTTCAAACAAATCTCCAGAAATAACATATTATGTTTAGTTTAAGGGTTTTTTCTTGTCCTTCTGTGTGACTCAGCAACCCTGCACTGAAGACCCTGCTGTCTGTTGGAGGCTCGGTCAACGGCGTGAGCCCGTGAGTCGTTGCTGTTTTCCTGCACACACCTGATGCAGAAGTCCTAAACTATCCTATAAATGACATTTTTACCACACAGTTTCCCTTCTACTTCTCACCAGATTCATCTCAATGGTGGCCAAACCTGAAGGTCGTGAAGCCTTCATCAAGTCTGCGATTAGCTTCCTGCGTGCCAATAGCTTTGATGGTCTGAACCTGGCCTGGGAATATCCTGGGCACAATGGCAGCCCACCACAGGACAAGGAGCGATTCACTCTGCTGGTCACGGTACTCGTCGCTCATTAGATGTGTTCCTTTTAGTCTGTAGCTCACAGATGTTGGAGGACACATTCTCAGCCTTTCATTTCTGCCTTCTCCAGGAGCTGTCCAAAGCTTTTGAGGATGATGCCAAAGACAACAAGAAGACGAAGCTGCTGCTGTCAGTCAATGCTGCTGCAATCCCTGCAACCATTGAGAGAGCCTATGAGGTCAACAAGATTGCACTGTGAGCATTTATAGTTACACAAAACTTCACTGACCTTAACTTCTGCCAATCTTCTTGAGCTCTGCATAGTAAAGAACTTTTAGATCATCTGTTGTAGGCCATAAGGAAATGTTCTTAGTTCTCTCTGGTGTTACTTATAAAGTTTCCTTTGAGCCATTGTCCTCATCAATCTGCCTCTTGTGTGCTTTAACAGCCACTTTGACTTTATTAATGTCATGACTTATGACTACCACGGACACTGGGAGCCAGTCACCGGACACAACAGCCCCCTGTACCGCAGCTCTGTGGACTCTGGATCAAAGCTCCACTATAACATAGTAAGAACAGACACAGTACTTCTAAACCTTGGGTTCATTTCACATGTTTTCTTTATAAAGTTATTATTATTGCTGTTGTGATCAAAATAATAATGATAAAAGTATATTTAAAGCACGTTCAATCAAAGCGCTTAACAGCAGTGTACAAAAACATCATGTCCACATCAATGCAGGTAAAAACCATAAGGATGCTTTTTTTTAAACCAATAACTGACATTAACTCTTAATTTCCGATACTGAGAAAATACTGACATGTGCAGGGTCTCCCCTAGTAAAACAATATAAAAAATAATCCATTTAGGTTGCGCACATCACCTAACCCTAACCCTCCCATCAGGAATGCTTAAGCATCAAACATAACATCAGCAATTGCAACTACCTCTATTTAAGTTAGTAATGCAGAAAGGCTGTGTGGCGCCTTTAGGCCAAAGATAATTATTACATTCATGATGGGAGTACGTTAGATTAATGAGTTAATAAATAGTAAAGTGAGATATCGCTGTTACAAACAATCTTTGTTATATTATCTGTGTGAAACACGACAGAGGGAGTAACTCAGACCTATCGCTGATATAGTTTAACTGTTTCCCAGGGTTTACATCTCATCCACGAACACACTGATGTTGCTTCAAACGTTCGTGCCCCGGTGAACATTTGTGTTTGTAAGTACGGGTCTGTTAGGGAATGTGTGTGTGTGTTAAAGTAGTTCATAGGGATGAGCCGGATACTCGTTTCAAACGAGTATCCGGTATGGATGAAGCATTTTTGACGAGTACGAGCATGAAACGAGTAAAACTTGTAAACATCTGTAATCGTGCTGAAGGAAAATCCTCATTGGGTAACTGACTGTCTTCACGCTCTGTGATTGGCCAGTCACCCGCCCCTCCCTACACACAAACTCTGCACCGGGAGCTCAGTCTGCACACACACACACACAGACAGTAACGGATCTCTCTGTGCTTGCTTCACTGTTGCTCACATTTCTTCAGAGCTCCCTAGGTTTTCTTCAGCTCGCCTCTTTTTCGTTTGAATATTTAAAGTTACTTTATTCGTAACGTACGTGGTGCATTTGACAAGACAGAGCTGAAAACGGCTCGTGCTGCGTCAGTCACTGCCTCCGCTCTGGTCGGGTTTTTTCCTCTCTCCTCTTCCTCAGGATCCACTCCCTCTTTCCTATTCACTCTCTCTCTTTCTTACATTTTTTAAACACAATTGTCTATTTTTTGCTCATTTAAATATATTTTAATCATTTTCTAAATTATTTTTTCTATTTTACATGTTTTGTTTTTGTGAAGCGCCCCGTGATTTTTATCTTGAGAGGCGCTATAGAAAAGATCTTCTCTCTCTCTCTCTCTCTCTCTCTCTCTCTCTCTCTCTCTCTCTCTCTCTCTCTCTCTCTCTCTTAATCCATGCACTTAAACATTAATGTTTTGATTTTATTGAAAAACTTGTTCTGTAATAATTCCTTTACTATTGTGATCAAAAACATTTAATCTCAACTCTGAGGCTGCTCTGTAAATAGTTTTCAAATAAACAATACACATAGCAACTTCTGATCAGACTTAAAATAACGTATTGATGTAAACCACACCCACTTCTGGGTTAGGCCACGCCCACTCCGAGTACAGATACAGATACAGATAGTGGTGTACTCGCTCATCCCTAGTAGTTCAACTGTAAGCAGTGTGAACATACACATTCTAAGCTAGGCTAATTTCTAAGCGCAATGCTAAGATGTGTGACGTAGTAATAATGTTTTTTTCTGTTTCTGTATATTTTAGTTACAATTACCAAAAATGTATGAAGATCTTCATGTAAGAAAAGGAATTCTTGGGTATATTCTGGCATTTAGAGACAGAGGAGATGAAGAGTTAAGATGTGCATGGTACTAAAGGAGTAAAAATGATATCGATATTTTCCAATATTACATTTTAAGGCCAATATGTGAAGACTTATTGGACATCCCTTATAACAGCAGATACCATAACAATGTAAGAAAAGTGAAAGCTAACAAAACTGTAGGATGTACAGTGAGATGCTAAAGTCTGGGCAGCAGTTTGAAACTTCGTGATTTTCCTGTAAACATCTTTGGCTGTTATGAAAACAAATTCAGTTAAATACATGTCAGGGTTCTTTTACCACATCTATTAAAATGAACACGACAATATTGTTTTCAACAGCACTGAGGAGAATGAACTGTGAGGTTTGAATGTCCCAGCTCAGTCTGACCCTCAAACTGGGGCTGTGTCTTTTATTATTTATATATATTTTACAAGGGAGCGCCCAGCTTCACACCAGATAAGGAGATAAAGCACGATTCAGGCAGGATTATCAGCAGAACAAGGAGTGAATATGACAGATTTACTTATTCTGTTTTCTAACCACACAGAGTCCACAGAGAAGTAGTAACAACATGTTTCTTATATCATAATAGTAAAAGTATGCAAAGCACTTATTAAAACAACTCCACCAACTTATCATAAAGGAGACATGCAGTGATGTTGGAGAAGTGAAATGAGCTTTATAGGATTTATGGAAGAATACCAAGGCTGCCCAAACTTTATAGTCTGCAACAGAGTGGATGGAGGCTGTAGGAGTGGCAGGAGAGACGATACTGCTGATGGTGTTAAACAGCACCTTGGGGTTCCCTTTGCTCTGGGACATCAGGTTGGAAAAATAGGAAACCCTGGCGTCTCTGACTGCAGAGTTAAAGGATGTCAGAAGATCCTTTAGGTGCAGCATTTAGACTCAGAGTAAAAACAAGGTCTAGAGTGTGCCCCCTGGTGTGTGTGGGGCCAGAAACATGCTGGGTAAAGCCGAAGGAGTCCATAAGGCTGGAGAAATGCATGGCAAAGTGATCAGAGGGATCATCAACGTGGATGTTAAAGTCACCAACAATCACTAATCTGGACAGCTTCACAGTGGAGGATAGAAAGTCACTAAGCTCCTGAAGGAAAGAACCGTTTGGACCAGGTGGACGATAGACCACAGCACAGTAGAACGGGTCCTTACACCCGACTTTAATCAGCTGCAGTTCAAAGGAAGCAAAGTGACCAGAGGTCGTAGAGCTACATGGATGATGGTCTCTGAAAACAACAGCTAGGCCTCCACCACGACCAGAACCCCGGGGCTGGCTAAGAAAAAAACAACCACTCGGGCAGAGTTCAGTCATGCCAGACTAATCAGATGTTTGCTGCCAAACTTCAGTCAGAAACAGAAAATCCAGATTTTTAAAGAGAATTAAATCAATGAGCAGGAAGGTCTTATTGTTAACAGAGCGGGTGTTTAATAGAGCCATGCTGAGTGAGGTGGAGGAATCAGAAACTACAAAAACAGCTGGAGTTAGTGGACGTAAATTAGCAGGGTTAGATCCACGGTGTTTATAAAAACCACTTATGGAGGGAACAGGAGGAGAAACCACTGAGGAATGAGGATAAACCGACCTTAAAAAACTTGGATGGAGAAACTGCGCCACAACGCGGCCTGGCGGGAATAAGGAAGTGGCGCTCAGGTCACCGAACAAAGGACAAGAAGCTAGAAGATCACGCCGATGTTTACTAGATAAACCACGCTTTAAGAGAAGTCTTGTTCTCACCTGGATTCCTGCTCGTTCACCTGTTTTGCTCCGATGTTTTCCCGTGACCGGATAAACATCCCTGAAGGCGCCCTAGTAGGAATTGTTGTTTGGCTCAGAGCCAGTGCACCATTCAGATAAACAAACAGGGAGGTACATCCACGGTGCATCTTGGGCGATCGTGAATGAACGGAAGGAAAAAAGAGTCTGGCGATCATAGGAGATGGTAGCAGGGACACTACTGAAGAGGATCGCAGACAGGAGCAAGGTGGAAAAGAGGAGGTTAGTGGAGAAAGGTCTGAAAAAGTGGCCGGTGACTGCGGTTAAGCCAAGCACAGGCGCCATCTTGTTACCGACCGGAAGTGGAAGTCAAAGATTGAGGGATCTGCAGTATCTTAGCTGTTCGTAGAGCTGCTATTTTCTGGACTGAGATGTTTTCCTGGGATCTGCTTTAGCCACTCCTCCAGCTTGGGGGTTACTGCTCCAGGCTTTCTCAAGTTCTTCTTTGAGGTCCTGGTACTTCTCTAGTTTCTTGTGTTCCTTTTTTCTGATGTTGCATCACTTGGTATCGCCACATCAACCACAATGGCTGTCCTCTGTTTTTGTCCTCCGCAATGTCCGGTTGGTTCTCCATCTTCATTTTGTCAGTCTGGATCTGGAAGTCCCACAGGAGCTTGGCTCTCTTGTTCTCCACCACCTTAGCGAGTGTTACCCACTTTGACCATGGAGGCTTCCAATCCGTACTCCGCACAGATGTTTCTGCATGATGCCGGACACTTGGTTGTGGTGTTCCATGGATGCTTTCCCTGCCAGCATCTTATAACTGCAGTTATGTGGTGGATTGTCTCAGGGGCCTCTCTGCATAGCCTACACCTTTGTTCTGGTCTGGTGTGGTAGATCCTGGCCTCTGTTGCTCTGGTGTTCAGGGCCTGTTCCAGTGCAGCCATGATGAGTGCCTCTGTTGTCCTTCAGACCAGCTACTTCTAGCCATGGGTAGGATTTCTTCGTATCCACCACTTCAGTTATACGTCTGTGGTACATCCCATGTAGGGGCTTGTACTTCCTTGATGGCATTTCCAGAGCCTCCTCTTCTGTTTGCCATTGCCTGTAAACAAAGAATGCTTTCAGAAACTTAAATAATGATACATTATTGTATCACTTTACAAAATGTAAAGAGGGTGACCCCAAGCTTCCAGCATAAAGAACCAGAGGTCCTGGAAGAGATGGTCTGGCCCCACAGATTCCTAATCTCAACATTATTGAGTGAGTCTAGATTACACGAATAGACAGAAGGGTGTGAGGAAGCTGATGTCCACATAAGATCTGTGGTTAGTTATACCAAACGCCTCGAACAGCCTACCAGTTTGTTGTTCACACTAATGATTGTTGAAGTCATTCTTTGTTTACAGCATTTTCACACCTAAAACATACTGTATTTACACTTTGTGTCAACAATTTATTTTGTTTGGCACAAAGAAAGTCTGCCTACCTGACTCATAACCCTCACTAGAAGCTCAAGAACGTCTAGTTTACTTTTGATATATGGCTGACTGCATTTAACTGTTGTGCAGATTGGAGTCTTTGCTGCTTTTAACACATCTAACAAAGTTTAATTATCTGTAATTTGTTGCAATCTCACTCAGAACTCCTCTGTATCCTACTGGCTAACTCTGGGAGCACCAGCTGACAAGCTGCTGCTGGGATTCCCCACATATGGACGAACCTACCGCCTCTCCGCCTCAGCTGATGGCCTGGGGGCACCATCCAACGGCCCTGCAGATGCTGGGCCTTACACTCGCACTGCGGGTTTCTGGGCCTACTATGAGGTAAAACTCTTTGATTAAACATACTTTCATTGAAAGTCAGAAATTAATATGATGATAAAGTGCTCTTTAAGAGCCGTAAACAGAAGAAACTAATGGTAATATAAACACTTAAGAAAGAGCCCTGAAAGCAGTTTCATGGTGGCTGAGATCTAACTTGATTAAAGTCACTCATCTGTTAACTTATCAGAGTAAAAATGATATGTAATATGGGTACATGTTATGTTGTGTGATGCTCCTATTTCTTCTACCAGACCTGTGACTTCACCAACAGCGCAACGGTTGGATGGATCTCTGAACAGGAGGTTCCCTATGCCACCTACGGCAGTGCATGGGTTGGATATGACGACAAGCGTAGCTTTTCCTCTAAAGTAACCAAGAACGTTTGGTCTATCCATGTCAAGAAAAGTTCTATACGCTTATTCCTGGTGGGCGCCAGTCAATGTGATGCTTATGTGGATGTCTTGTAGGTCCAGTGGCTGACTAGGAACAACTTAGGGGGTGCTCATGTGTGGACATTGGACATGGATGACTTCAGTGGATCCTTCTGCTCAGAGGGAGAGTATCCTCTCATCAACCACCTCAGGATGTCAATGGGTAAATACAGTCAACTCTGGCCACTATAATGGTGTTTTGTTCGGCCACAATTAGACAAACCAGAAGATCAATGTATGATGATGTTGAATAAGCGTTGTATGTTGTCTGATCCCATCATGTGTGTGTGTGTGTGTGTGTAGGATTTGGTCCAAAACCCACCACCACGCCACGCCCCACCACCACCAGGGATCCCATTGGGGACTTTTGCCGTGGTCGCCCTGATGGGCTGTATGAGAATGTAGCTGATAAGACCAGCTACTTCCAGTGTTTTCAGGGAAATACCTACCTTCACCGATGCCAGCCCGGCCTCATCTACTGGGACTCTTGCAAGTGCTGTAACTGGCCCTGATTGAAGGAAACCAGTAACAAACACAGCCAGTCCATGACAGTAGATGACAGGGAACTGAAAGTGGGAAAATTCTGTAACTTTGGTTGTTCTGGTCAGGAATAAAAATCAAACCAGTAAGGAATGTTCTCTTTGCAGTGGACTCAATGATTTTTGAGCCAAAATAAATGAATGAAAAATAACTTGGTTCATCTACAATTTCAGTTTCAAACATTTAGATGTACAAATGCTGATACTTTCCTTGAATATTTTTCCTTCAGTGTATTAACTGGACATTTACCCGTGCTTCATACTGGAGGCATCAGCAATAGTAGCAGAAAAATTCACTTGTGAGCTTCACTGTGTGCCAATACACACCGGGAGACTCTCCACCTCAGCTGCCATGCTCCTCATATAAGTCACGAGCTCCCAAAATCCCTTAAGTCCTCAAAGTGCACAGTTTGTTTACGTCATTCGCTGTTAACCTAAAATAAAGAAATCATGCTTAATATTGCTGTTTGATGTCACACATGATAATGTTCTTCTCCACTGAAAGGATTAAAGCTATAAAAAACAGTTTCACTTCTTTTTGGTTATTTTTTTGTGTGTTTTTTGCTGAAGACAACATGGAAACACATTTTTTCTTTTTTTTCCCCTCAACAACAACAACATCAACAACACAAAAAGAAAACATTACCCTTAAAAAAAGTTGTGGGGAGGGGACGCTGCACAAAACTTCCTATTGAGGCCTATTTTTTCCAACTCAAGAAACTACACAACAAACTGGAAAGGAAATTGGACAAAGCTCAGGTCCCCAGATAGGACGGACAAAAACCTGTTCGGGAGGCCGTGGAGTTCCAGACACGAGTAAAACGTGTGACTCAGGTCACAGAGTGTGTGACATGATCCACCACATGTGGATAGATCTTAGACAGGTGAGATTTCAAATAGTGAGCTAAACTGAATAAGTTGTATCCTAGCACATGATGCAATATAACGGACGTTAGACACCGCAACTTCCCATCATCGATCCGAATGAATTTCACCTTTGGAAGTCAGAATTAAGCTGGGTGACCTGAGGTGAGAAGTTAGAAATAGATAAGGAGAATAAAGTACGAGTTACATTGACTCCTAAATCTAGAGGGAGGAAGCTTAAAAGGGATATCAGACTGTTTAAATGCAATACCTAAGGGATTTATTGGGAAACAGTCGCTCTCAGAAACAGTAATCTTGTAGCCAGATAAAGAGCCAAACCTATTTAACAAAGACACTGTTGGTGGTTCACAGGACAGGGGATCAGAAACAAACAAAAGCAGGTTGTCTGCATATAGGGATAATTTTATTAGAATGAGGCAGGGACACACCCAGGAATAAATCAGTGATGAACAAGGGTCTGCTTCTAGACCTGCAGAAAGAGAAAAACAAACACAACAATACAACAGGAGCAAGCTATCACTGCATCAACCTGATGAGGAAATATAAAATCAACATTGTTTAACTGATCAATCACACGATAATAAATCACAGTGCATTAAGTGCCAACCACAGCCTTAAGACATGTGTTGAACGTGCCCAAGTCCATACTTATGAGAGCACCATGTGAGCACCTGTGTGTGTACACGTGCTTGCTTATGTAAGGTTTCTCTATAGGAGCGTCCAATAGAGAGTGTGAGGGGCCACAGATCTGCCCCCTGAAGATGAGTAGGATGGAGGGAGCTCCAAGTCCCAGAGATCCAGGAGCTGCCCCAGAACGCAGGGACCCCAGGGAGACTGTAACCACAAAAGCCCCTGCCCCCCTTGAGAGGCGCAGAGGATTTAATAGAAATCAGCCCTGGTTCTATGTTTTTGACACCGGTAACAGAGAGGGGAGTGGGTCCGGGTTATGGAATGATATAAACATGTCTTTGATAAAGAAGGTTATAGGGGTTATTGTGCAGCCACTGACTTAAATTTGTAATTTGTCCTTCACAGCAGGTTTATTTCCATGTAAAATGAAAACGGCTAAGGTTATTACATTATACAAAGAGGGAGACAATAAGCAGTTCCCTAATTATAGACCAGTTTCATTATTATCACAATTTTCGAAAATTTTAGAAGTTATTTGTCAGTAGACTGGATAAATTCATTAAAAATCATAATCTGTTATCAAATAGTCAGTATGGGTTCAGAACAAATAGATCTACATCAATGGCATTAATAGAAATTGTTGAAGAAATCACTAGTCCTATAGATAAGAGGGAATATGCAGCTGGAGTATTTGTAGATTAAAAAAGCCTTTGATACAATTGATCATACAGTGTTAATTAGTAAAATTCAAAAATATGGTATTGTTCTCCATTGGGTTAGAAGTTATCTAACCCTAGAAATCAATTTGTACAAATAAACAATTATAACTCAGAAATGCTTAGTATCAATTGTGGAGTGCCACAAGGGTCAGTTTTGGGTCCAAAGCTATTTATTCTATATATTAAAGATTTGTGTAAGGTTTCCAGAGCATTAAAATGTGTTTTATTTGCAGATGATACAATTTTTTTTTGCTTCGGGAGAGAATTTGTACGATCTTTGTACGTTGGTAACAACAGAAATGGCTCAACTGAAACTATGCTTTGATTTGAATAGATTATTATTAAACTTAAAGGGGCATTATGGAAGTGTGACAGCCAAAACATGTATAGAAATAATAATTTTCTTCTTCATACATTCTCCTGCAATGCCCTGGTCCTGTAGAATGAGCCCTGGCATTTTTACTGTGATTGCCTGTTTTTCTGTAAAATCACAGAAAAAGAGAGATGCTCGGGTCGAGCAGGCTGCTTCATGCACATTCACGCTCAGGCATAGCCCTCCAAACCGTTTTTTGAACGTTGTTTCAGCTGTCATCAAGGAAATAAATGTTACAGATACAAAGTATGTCACTGGTGCTTTAGCATGCCTAGTAAGACGTCGGACTTTCGTGCAGAATCCTGGTTTCGATTCTGGATGTGAACATAGTTCATTTAGAGTTTCTTTTTTACAATAATGTTTTTTTTTTAGTAAGATGCCCAAATTTTTATTTGAGACTCGCCGAACGGCATTGAATTCACAGATAAAAAAGATGTGTGTTCAACTTTCATTTTGGAACAATTTTTCAAGCAAGGGAAGGGAATGATCTGAGCATGCAGGAGGACTGACCCATCATAAACCTTTGTCGGCTGTGCTGAAGAGAAAGGTACAGAACCAAATTATTTAATTAATTAGCTGCACGTTCTCCTGTCCTCTGTCCTCCGGGCCACACACACACACACACACACACACGCACGCACACACACACACACGCACGCACGCACACACACACACACACACACACACGCCTCGTGCACGAGCCTACTATTGAAACTGCCGTTACTCTTTTGGCCTGAGGGGGCAATCGCGAGAATTAAAATTCAAAACTCGCCGCTCATATGAAGTCCCTTTAAACAAAACTAAAGTTATGTTGTTTGGAAAACGTAAAATAACCACACACATGGCAATAACTATAAATTATACTATCATAGAAAGAGTGTGTGAAAATAAATTTCTGGGTGTAATCCTTGATCACAAATTATGTTGGAAACCTCACTTAAAATATGTTAAAGCAAAGGTAGCACGGAGTATTGGGCTGTTGGGAAAAGTACGGCATTTTGTGAATCAAAAGGCGTTGTATATTCTGTACTGCACACTGATAGTACCATACCTAACTTACTGTGTTGAAGTGTGGGGAAACATCTAGAAAACCACCCTATATTTACTTAGCATGTTACAAAAACGAGCCATAAGGTTGGTCAGTCATGTGGGATATAATGAACACACAAATAGCTTGTTTATAAAATTACAAACCTTAAAGTTCAAATATTTGATAGAATTTAGGACTGCATTATTTATTTACAAAGTAAATAAAAAAAATACTGCTAGAAAATATTCAAAAACTGTTGGCAGAAAGTTGAGAAGGGAATTAAATTTGAAGCAGCATCATGCTCGAACAAAATTGAAAAGTATGTGTATTTCAATTAGTGGAGTTATTTTATGAAATAGTCTTGAGGAAAGAATCAAAGAAAGTTTAAATATAGTGCAATTTAAGAAATTATATAAAGAATTAACTTTTTTCCAGATATTGACAAGAGGATCACTAATTTGTATATGTACTGTAGTGATAATATAAATTAACATTGTTGTAATTTATGTTGATACTTCTGAGTTGTTCTATTGTGATGTTGTGTTCAGAAGTAGTTGTATTCTGATATTTTTAATTTTATAAGTATGAGTAAATTGATTTAAGGATAGGTGAAATAAGCTTCTTCCTATTCCTTTTCGAACAATTATGGTTGTGATAAGTTTTCTAAGTTGAAAATTACTATATGTACTGTTTTATTTGTTTGAAATAAAAAGAGAAAAACATAAAAAATAAATAAAATCTTAAGCATCATGTGAGCACCTTTGTGTGTACACGCACTTGTATATGTAAGGTTTCTCTATAGGAGCGTCCAATAGAGTGTGAAGGGCCACAGATCCGCCCCCCAAAGATGTGTAGGAGATGGAGGGAGCTCCAAGTCCCAGAGATCCAGGAGCTGCCCCAGAGCACAGGGACGCCAGGGAGACTGCAACCAGAAAGCCCCCGCCCCCCTCGAGAGGCACAGAGGATTGCCCTGGGAGGGCCACAACCAGCAGCCGGCAGAGTCCTGGGAGATATCAGCGGCAAGCCCAAAGGCCCGCCCGCAGCCTCCCACCCCCTAGCCGGCCGAGCCCGGAACCCAGCGACCCGGGACCCAGGGGCGACCACCCCCGTCGGGGACCCAACAGAGCCCAGGGACTCAGATCCCTCCAGGCAGCTCCCCAACAAGGGGGCAGGGAGGGTAGGCAAAGATGTGTAGTAGCACAGGAAGGCCCAGGAGAAAGGAGGAGTCCAACGCCGGGGACACACCGGCCGCGGAAGCGCCGTGAAGCGCCGAGAAGCGAATCGCTCACGAAATTCGGCCGCTGCTCGCCGCTCCTCAGTTCAGATCAGACGCGCCCCAGTCGAGGCGCGCCTCGGCTCAGCTGTAGTTTTTCTTTTAAACACTTGGTGTCCTCCATTTCCTCTCTGCCTTTCCTCAGCTCTTTTCCTCTACGTTTGAGTGTTTGTACGCGTGCGTGTGTGCGTGTGTGTGTGCGCGCGCGTGTGTGTGAACCTATGGTATGAGTTGTTTCTGCCAGTTGAATCTCTTGGAACCCGCTCCAATTCTGCAGCTGTATCCTAGCAGTTTCTTCCTAAATGGGTACGTAAACAACCATGTTTTTCGGGGGGCGTACAGCTCCTTGTGTTTCTCAACTTCCATAATTAATTTAAAGTCATCCATCCTAACTGCTTGCCTCAGACTTTCTGCCTCTCTGTCCTGTTTGCTCCGGTGAAAAGACACCCAAAACCACACCCCCCTTCACGTGGTCACACGCACACAAGTTCGATGTGTGTGTATGTGTGTGCGTGTTCGTGTGGTTTTTCTGCAGTGTCTGTTTACGAACGCGTTTGACTATTGCGGAATTTTATTTTGAAATGCTTTATTTTGTTAACTTTACCGGCCTGCCTCTTGTCTACGTTTGACTTCCTGCCAGAATTGACGCGATTCACCCGCGGCTCGCGAAAAAAATAGAGCCAACGCCGAAATGATCGCTGCACGGCGCGGGCTGGAGCGCCGGCGCGTGCCGGCGCGAGGCGATTCGCGGCGCTTCGGCGGCCCATGTGGTCTATAGAATAGCTTAACAAGGGCGCCGAATGAAGGCGGTCCCATTTTCGCGGCGCTTCCGCGGCCAATGTGTCCCCGGCCCAAGACCCTACCTGACATATACAGTCATACACAGACACAGTCACACACTCCCTCCCTCATGCTCACACATACACATACAACCTCAGACTTACAAAAATGAACGCTAGACACCCACTCATAGTCCCCATACACACCTTATTCACTCTGGTCCCGGTACTGCTGCACAGAGGGTACAACCATCCTAGGACCAGATTTAGCCCCGTTCTGCTGGGGTGATGATGAGCAGGCTCCCCCGCCCAATGCTGAGCAAAGAAACCCACCACCCCAGACCCGAACCAGACGGCCAGATCTCCCTCCTAGCCTCCAGCCCCAGGAAGCCATGCGACAACAGAGGTGTGCTAAGACCCCTAGTCTCCCTTCACCTGCTCCAATACATTGTTGATGGGTGTTGATGAGGTGTATTCTATAGCTGGGGGGGGGGGGGGGGGGGGGGGGGGGGGGGGTTAGTGCAAGCATCGACTGGCCTACACCAGCTGATACCACCACACAGTCCCACTCCCCCCTCCCCAACCCTCTGTGTCTAAGTGCAGTTAAAAATTGGCCTCACCATTCAGCCTCACCCCTTCACTCGGGGTGAGGCTGAATGGTCCCCCTGCCGAATGCCATTGAGTGTGGCAAGGCCCTAAATGTGTGTTTGCGTGGAATGTTAGCGGAAGTGTTTACTATGCAAGTCAAATTGGGGGGCAGGCTGCCACAGGACTACGGAAATAGGATCCATACCCGCACCCCTTGACTTCCCCACCCCTCAAGGTCCTATGTTCATGCTTGTGTGATGATGTGAGGGAGCAGTAGGAGGAAAATGTCTGGGGATGGAGAGGAATGGCTGGGGGCCCTAAGCCCTCCAGGGAGCCAGCTCGCCTGCTGGCCCCAGTAGGCACCTTTGTTCCCAAAATACCACCCGGCGCATGGAGACCCCAGCCCATCTCACCAGGCCCCAAAACAGCAGCATCACAAAGCCCCACGGTGACCAGATCAATGATCCCCCATCATCGCTACGTGATGGAACCGATCAAAGGAGCCCAGAGAGATTGACTTGAAGTGGAAGCAGTGAGATGGGTGAGGAGTAGATGCGTTTTTTAAGCTCCTCACGGCACAACTATTATCTTAATTCAACCACCTTTTTGAACTACTAACACTCTTTTATCGCAAAAGAAGTTATCCTGTGTCACTCTCTACATACATTGTTACCGAGAACCGGGAAGAAAGCATGTCCTGGAGCACACGGGGCGCTAAGAGATCGGCCATAGTTAACGTTAGCTGCAGCAGCCCTAGAAAAAATGGTTTGTCTTCGCTGGTGGACCATGGTTTGGAGGAAGAAGACAAGCTCCCTCTGATGTGGCAAAAAATGTCAAACAAGCTTCTGCAGTCCATCAATGAGAGGTTTGACAAGTTTGAGCAGAGTTTTCAGAACTTGTTGGTGGCCCAACAAGCGTTAGCCGACAGGCTATCCACCACTGATAGCCAAGCTACAGACCACGAGCTACGCGTTAGCGCAATGGAGCGTTCAGTTGTCGATCTACAGTCTGAGAATAAGAAAGTACGAGCTAAGCTCTCGGATCTTGAGGGACGATCCAGACGCAAAAACATAATCGTTGGGATTCCTGAAGGTGAGGAGAAAGGAAGGCCCACTAAGTTTGTGTCAGAACTCATCCCGAAGCTGCTCAGAGGCGACAAATTTGAGAAACCGGTCATCATCGACAAGGTGCACCGCACTCAGCAGCCCAGACCCCCGGAGGGCACCAGACCCCGCACCATAATCGCCCAGGTGCACTTTGCACAGGATAAAGAAAAGATTCTGCGACTGGGGAGGCAGACCACAATGGATCTCGCGGGCCACCGCATCTTAATCTTTCCCGACTACACTGCCGATATTATGGAGCAATGACGGGGCTTCCGCGAGGTGCAGCAGCTGCTGAGGGAAAAGGTAATTCGCCACACGCTCAGGTTCCCGGCTAAGCTCCACGTCCACCACCAGGGACAAGTGAAGTTGTTTAATAACCCTGAGGAAGCTAAGACTTTCATTACTCAAAACCTTTAGTAGTGGGACTTTATTGTCCCACGATAAAAGTTTTTCGTGTGATAAGATCTGATTAGACCGTTAGGTAGGTGGTTTCTGTGTAAAATGTTCGATTACTAGTTGGGCCCAAGGTAAGCTGTTAAAGGGAGGTGTTTTCACACTGTTTGCCCGGCAGCCCCGGATATGGTGGAGGGTAACCCTGCTTCGTTTGGGGAAGCACTGGGTGGGGTTTGTTTTGTGGACAGTTTCCACTTATTTGTTAGCATATTTTTTTCTGTTAACTGTAGGTGTTTTTTTTTCTCTCACTCCAAAACGCCGGACAGCAACTATAATGTATCCATAACTTTCTTGATGCATAAAACTGACAGTACATAATAAAATGTTAGTACTACATATCATACATTTGTTAATGGTTTATTGCCATCTTCATTTACCGTGATGGTTTGTTGAACAGTTTTTCTTTTACTTTTATCTTTTGGCGACCACGTTAATGAGACTGAGCCATTTCCTGAGTCAGCAGAGTATTGTTGAGATCAAAAGAACAAGCGACTAGCTGAGAATATCTTGATGGTCAATGGTCACCGTCGGAGCTCCACGAGGAAGAGAGAGATAAAGTCATATAAATCTGTTAATCTTAAAACCTGTCTCACTTTCCAGTTCACTATCACGAATATCTTACTTTATTGTGTCTGCTTTGATTATCAATGCATTCTCATTATTGGTGCGATGTTTTCCAGTACTGTAACCTAAAACTGCTTTCTTAACTTCAGTTTAACGTAGGTATGGAAGGTCAAATATATGTTGCACACAAAAAAAATCTGTTTTAAATAAAACATTTTCCTTTCAATAATTAGTTATTCAATTTGTTATTGCAATTAATCATTATTGTGGCAGTTAAACTATGTATGTTTATCACAGGTGTCCCTCTGACTGAACAATATTTTTGTTATCGACACTGCTCTAAGGTCATTCTGGCTGATTATTGATATGATAATAAGTCATTTGCTGATTGATGTAAATCACACGTTGCCTCTCACTGAGTAAATTATTGTCTATATGCAGCTTTGTTGGATTTTATCTGAACATGTTCTAATTAACGCCACTTTTATTGGCCCAGTGTGTGAAAGGGTGGAACACCCTTCTTCCATCTTCACACTAGAATATAAAAGGTCGCATGGTGCTGCTGCTGTTTGGATCTTTCATCTGGTCCCAAGGTGAGCTGATGAAGGGAATCTTTCACTTTTATTTACAACTATGGATGTGCCAGCAGTATTTTGTGAATTAACCGATTCTCTTTTTATAGTCAACTCTTGAAGTGAGAAATACAACTAAAATGGCAAGGCTCTCTGTTCTAGCAGGTATTTTACTAGTATATTAATTTTATTACTGCTAAATAGCTTCATAGTTCCACGTATTAAAGAAAACGTGTTTTTGCTTCCGTCCAGGTTTTTGCCTGTTGTTATTCCACCTGGGTGAGTGATAGATATTACATTTTGAATGTTATTATTATTTTTAACTTCAACAAAATCCATTTCAATTGTCTGTTAATTCAACACAGGATCTGCAAAAAGAATGGAGTGCTACTTCACCAACTGGTCCCAGTACAGACCTGGTGAGGGCAAGTTTCTGCCACAGAACGTAGATCCCTTCCTGTGCACCAGCCTTATCTATGCCTTTTCCATCATCAACCCTAACAATGAGCTGGTTACTTACGAGTGGAATGATGATGTCCTCTACAAGTCTTTCAATGAACTAAAGACCAAGTAAGTGGGGATTTTAAGGTAGCTTCATCAGAGGTCAAGTCAAACTAAGCAACAATATGATGTATACAAACATTTAAAATAAAAGATTTTTTATGCCTCATATTGATTCATTTCACTTACTACAGCAGACAGCTACTCAAAATGCGATTAAGCAAAGCTGTTGAAGATGTTTTTTGCATTTGAGCTGCTACATTGAGTCAAGCCAACATATTTCATCCATGCTGTGCAATGAAGCGGTCATATAAACATGATGTCAAAACTGGTCAAAAACATTTGAGTTGAAATTGGTTTCTTTGATGCCTAAAGATGAATAAAAATAATTGATTAAAAATCCATGTTGAAATCATCAATCTTTATGCACGAAAGGGCTAAAGATCATTTCTTAAGCAGGAAGTTTGAACAATACTTCTGTGTTCAGGAATCCTCATCTGAAAACTCTGTTGGCTGTTGGTGGATGGAACTTTGGCTCCACACAGTAAGTACCTGAGATGTTGGCATGTCTATCGCAGCTTCCACCTAGTGGAATGTCTTTGAGCAAGACACTTAAACTCCACTCTGTGAATGGCTGTAAATTCAGCTCTGGTGTTTGAGTAAACTGGTAAATATTAAGTTGTGGAAAAACCCTTTATGGTCAGTAGCACGTAAATACATTCCATCCCTGTGCATGATGAATATCAAACTTGTATCCTTTAGCAAAGGGTCATTAAAACTCTTCACATAAAAGGCCTCTGGTGATACATACTGGTATAATAAATGTTTCTTCTAGGTTCACCAAGATGGTTTCTACTCCAGCTAACCGTCAAACTTTCATTCAGTCTACAATCAAATTTCTGAGGACTCATGGATTTGATGGACTGGATCTGGATTGGGAGTATCCTGGTGCTCGGGGAAGTCCTCCAGAAGACAAGAAGAGGTTCACGCTACTCTGCAGGGTTGGCTAACTAAACTACTGTTGATCTTCTATTCACCAGTCACAGCTCTGATGGTGTGCGCCACGCTGTTGTGACGTTAATTCTTGTATTGTCTTTGCTAACCACTGCAGGAACTTGTTCAAGCCTATGCAGCTGAGGCCAAGTCCACTGGCAAACCTCAGCTCATGCTGACCGCTGCGGTGTCTGCTGGTAAAGGAACCATTGATGGTGGATATGAGATTGCTGAAATTGCCAAGTAAGAATGATGATATGAGTAGTTAATCAGAGGAGTTGAGTAAATACTTTTGTAAACTCAAACAATGACGGTTTTTCCTTTTAAATATTATCCAGGGAATTAGATTTTATTAATGTGATGACCTATGATTTCCATGGAACTTGGGAGCAGTTCACTGGCCACAACAGTCCTCTGTTCCGTGGATCTGAGGACTTTGGTGACCTCATCTACTTCAATGTTGTGAGTCCTAATGAAAATCTAATGTTTGGTGTTTATTAATTTAGTACTTGTTTTGAAAGTTTGTAGAAGTGTTAATTCCACCTCCCCACTCCCCCCAACCACACTGCTTACAACAGCAGTTCAGGAGGTAGAGCGGGGTTGCCCAGTAATCGGAAGATTGCAGGTTTGATCCCGGCTCTGATCAGAGAGTGCTGCTGTTGTGTCCTTGGGCAAGACACTTATCCTTCCTTGCCGGCCAAAGGGACCAGTGGCGCTAGTGCATCCCAGGGCAGCTGTGGCTACATCGTAGCTCATCCCCACCATCGTGTGAATGTGTGTGTGTGACTGGGTGAATGACTGATTGTGTTGTGAAGCACTTTGGGGGGTTGTAGAACACTAGGAACGCAAATACAGGCTATTCACCATTTTACCACTGAATGTATTTTATAGGACTATGCCATGAAGTACTGGAGAGATAATGGCACCCCTCTGGAGAAGCTGAGGATGGGATTTCCTGCCTATGGTCGTACCTTCCGTTTGACATCATCAAATACAGGTGTTGGAGCTCCAGCTAGTGGTCCTGCATCAGCTGGACCATTCACACGTGAAGCTGGCTTCTGGGCCTACTATGAGGTAAAAAGCTACCATATGTGATTTCTACTAGAAACTATTTTTGCATGTGATGAATTGCATAAACATTAAGGAGTTACGATTAATTCTAAAGTGCATTACCACATTTTTCTTTTATGTAGGTCTGCACATTCCTGCAAGGCACCACCATTAATTGGATCGACGATCAAAAGGTTCCCTATGCATTTAAAAACAGTGAATGGGTAGGATTTGACAACAAGGAAAGCTACGAAATAAAGGTAAGCAGGGCTTACAGAGGCTCAAGTCTTATTATAAACATTGTAACTTATTTAAAACACTATCATTACAACATTTTTCTGGGAATTTTGTATAACAGGTACGATACTTGCAAGAGCAGAAGTACGGCGGTGCCTTTGTGTGGGCGCTTGATTTAGATGACTTTGCAGGAAAGTTTTGCAGTCAAGGTAGTCACCCTCTGCTTGCTCATCTGCACAAACTTCTTAATATTGGTAAGTCTAAAGTGTATTGTGCCTTTAAATGTTTATTTACTTGAGTAACCAGATTCAGTGTGTTTACATGCAGCCAGTAACCCTTTTAAAACCCGAATATTTGCAATAACCCGGTTCCGCACGGCCTTGTAAACACCGCCAAAAACCCGGATATGCTCAAAACCGGGTTTTTAAAAACCCGGTTACTACACCTGGGGTAACCCTTTTCTAACCCAAATGTTTGGTCGTGTAAACGCATATCGGGATATCCCCATCAAAGCGTGTGTTCTGCACATGCTCTGTTCGCAAGGAATCTTGGTCTTTTGAGTAGCGAGACGTCTTGTATGCGCCAGAACACCGGAAGTAAACAACAAGTTGGGAGCAACATGGCGAGTCGCGGCACAGCACCACACTTTTGGAGTGATGAGGAAACTAAAGCGCAAACAAACGCGGTCGCTATCTCTTCCGAACTGGGAAAAATTGTGTTGTTTTCACGGATACCAGAACAAGAAGAACCTGAAATGACGCATAATGCGTCTGGACGTAGTCCACACGTCCTGACGCTACCCCAACGTCCGCATTTACATCGGGTTATGCAAGTTAGAGGTAACTCTTTCTATTTATGCTTGTAAACGGGTTATTCTGATCAACTCAGAAACCCGAATCCCGACCTTAACCCGATCATAACCCGGATATTGGCTGCATGTAAACGTACTCTTTGTAGCAGGGCTGACAAATTTCTGATGTCTACTCTGTCACACAAATCACAGCTTCACTCTGGCTTATTAACACATAAAATACCACAGTGTGCTAACTTGTGTATTCAGTAGTTATTTTAAAAGCCATGTGACCAGCTACAAGTAACTGGTTCATTTTATTGCCCTGCAACAATTCAGAGCTTCCACCACTGCCCCCAACCACCACCCCCAAACCTGGCGCAAGCACCACTTCTCCAACTACCACCACCACCACCACTACTCATGCTCCAGGACCTGGCTTCTGCAACGGCAAACCTGATGGTCTGTATGCCAACCCAGATGACAGAACCAGCTTCTACATGTGTGCAGGAGGCGTCACTCATATCAGGCACTGTGGAAATGGATCTGTCTTTGATGACAGCTGCAAGTGCTGTGTCTGGCCCTGAGCTATCAGTGATAACATTCTTTTTAATCTGACAACATTAAAAGACTGTAACAATCGTTTTGCTGTGTATGAAGTCATCCATCTAAATAAATCAAAATTTATTAAATTACGATTTATTTTTCTTTACCTAAAAACAGTGTGGCTTAAATGTGTCCATCGAACACTAAAGTGATTGAATGTAGAACAGAAACTGTTTGGGTCTCAGTAAACAAACAAAAGTATCACTACTCTTCTCTGTGTGGCTGTATGTTTATTGGGGAGGCACTGTGGGGGAAATTGTGTATTACACAACATTTTGTCAGTAAGTTGTGTTTTCTGACGGTCACAGGGCACCAATAGCTCAGATAATAGAGTGAATTGTCCAGTAACTGGAAGATTCAATTACGGTTGCCATCCAACACCTTGCCTTCTGGTGGTGGCTGGAGGGACCGGTGGCACCAGTGTTTTTTTTTTTTTTTTTTTAATATAGCGCTAAATCACGACAAGAGTTGTCTCAAGGCACTTCACATAATAAACATTCCAATTCACAGTTCATTAAGCCAATCAGAAATAATGTTTCCTATGTAAGGAACCCAGCAAATTGCATCAAGTCACTGACTAGTGTCAGTGACTATACAGCAATCCTCACACTAAGCAAGCATGCAGCGACAGTGGAGAGGAAAACTCCCTTTTAACAGGAAGAAACCTCCAGAGAATCCTGGCTCAGTATAAGCAGCCATCCTCCACGACTCACTGGGGATGGAGAAGACAGAGCAGGCAGACACACGCACACACACACACACACACACACACACACACACACACGCGCACACACACACACACACACACACACACACACACACACACACACACACACACACACACACACAGACAAGTAATGTGTCTATAGTTATATTGTGATGTCTTAGTAAATATTGTATTTGGTGAAAGATAAACTTTATTGTATTTATCCTAGTGAATCTATAATTAAACGGATAAACTAGTAGTAGCACATCAAAAGTCAATGAAAACAAAAAGTTATTATCAGGAGAGGGAGAATGTTTAAGTGGTTAGCAGCAGTGTGCTAGTCGATGGCCCCCTCCATGAGGCCACCACAGCTCAGCAGAACATCATTGTAGCTTCTTCTGGGGAGAAAAACACTTACAGAGAAAATAAAGTTAACAGCTGAAATTGCACAAAATAGTACAGTTTTACTTTACCGACTGTACACTCCACCTCCCTGTAATCCCCCACTTGTCCAGATTTAGGCTAACATCAGATTTTAATTATAGGCCCTATCAAATAAAAATGTTTTAAGCCTATTCTTAAAAGTAGACAAAGTGTCTGCCTCACAGACTAAAGCTGGGAGCTGGTTCCACAGGAGAGGAGCCTGATAACTAAAAGATCTGCCTCCCATCCTAAGTTTAGATATTCTTGGAACCACCAGTAAACCTGCAGTCTGAGAGCGAAGTGCTCGGTTAGGAACGTATGGAACAATCAGGTCACTGATTTATGATGGAGCTTGATTATTAAGAGTTTTATATGTGAGAAGAAGGATCTTAAAATCTATTCTGAATTTAACAGGTAGCCAATGTAGGGAAGCTAAGACAGGAGAGATATGATCTCTCTTTTTAATTCTCATCAGAACTCTAGCTGCAGCATTTTGGACAAGCTGAAGACTTTTAACTACATTCTGTGGACTTCCTGAGAGTAATGGATTACAGTAATCCAGTCTTGATGTAATAAATGCATGAACTAGTTTTTCAGCATCACTCCTGGAAAGGATGCTTCTAATCTTAGCAATATTCCGAAGGTGGGAAAAGGAAATCCTACAAACCTGTTTAACCTGGGATTTGAATGACATGTCCTGGTCAAAGATAACACCAAGGTTCCTTACTTTGTTCTCGGAGATTAATATAATGCCATTCAGGTCAGGTGATTGACTAAGCAATTTCCTTTTCTGGATTTCTGGTCCAAAGATGAGAACTTCCGTCTTGTCTTGTCAGAAAGTATCCAAAAGAATAACTACTCAGGCCACTTTTGTTTAATAATGGAGACACCACAGACTTCTTTGCTTTCTTTTGCCCTGCTTATGTGCTCATGACTTCACAGACCACCCATGTGCTCAATCACACTTGCATTCCTAAGGCAGTGTGGAATGAATGCGACCAGGCTGGGGCGGGCACAGTGGGGCCAATACTATAGTGTAAGTGGCATAAGAAGGCGTTTGCATTTGTTTGGTAGACCCAACCCCACATGTTAGATACTATTCTTTTCAGAATTTCATTGGCTATTTGATGAGTGACTCACCAACAAACTGCTTTGTGATGGGGTTGAGCTACTGTAGAGGGTATTATGGTTAAAAAAAAAACGAGTCAGAGACTGGCATCTTTCATTAGACAGAAACAATCAGCATCAACACGTAGACAGCCTTCAGACTGAGAAAATGAAAATGCATTTCTACTGATGCATTTTAATTTTCAGATTTGACATTTCAAATTTAATTTTGTTACACATTTGCTGGAGTGTTATTTGAAAATGAAATCCAAAATGCCTTTTTCCTTTATTATTTTCATTAAGTCACAGAAGAAGCAATGATGAAGAAAATCAAAAAGCAGTTTTGAGAAATGCTTTTTCACTTTAATTGTGAGTCACAATAAGTAACTGTAAAGTGAAAATGAAAACTAATTTCTGCTAATGCAGTTTAATTTTTAAATATGAAATTTCAAATTGAATTTTGTTACATTTTTGCTGGAGAGTTGTTTGAAAATTAAATCTTAAATGTTTTATTCTTTATAATTTTCATTAAGTCACAGAATAAGACAAGATGCAGAAGAAAACTAAAAGTCAGTTTGGATGATTGCTTATTCGTTTTATTTATGAGTGAAATTTGGCAGTGCTAATATGAAAATAGAAAATAATTTCTGCTACTGCATAATAATTAGCTTTCTGTTACACTTACGCTTCCATACAACGCAACTTGTGGCGGAATTAAAAACAAACTCCGGTCTGCTAGGTGGCGCTAAGCTGTTTCACCCACCAACGGAAAAGAAAAGGAAGCGGTGCGTTTCAGGAAGTGAACGTGTGTATGGAGGGTTATCTGTTGCTTTCAGCCACCGCTTGCAATTGTTACCCAATGAAAGTGACAGGCTTTTTGTTTCGCTGGGACGTTTGTTACCTTAAGTTAGCGTGAAGCCGCAGTCACGCCTGTTTCTGTTTTAGTTAACGCTTAGCATCGACCAAATTGGTGTCTTCAGGATCCGTCGTGTCGCTTCTTCAGTTTTCCAAACATGTACACTTTATTTTCTGGATTATACAAGTACGTGTTCCAAAAAGATGAGTACTGCATCTTGATCCTTGGTCTGGATAACGCTGGAAAGACGGTATGTTTACCTTCGTGTGTCATTGTACTGCTTTAGATCAGTTGTTAATCACTGGAAACGATAGTTTTACTTGATTGGAGGGGAACACTATGTGGACAAAGCCAACGGCAGGCTGGCAGTGTGTTTGTTCTGATGATAATAGTAACTAGAAGTTTCCTGAGGACGTTTTGAAAGGATTCTGCCATCTGGCGCAAGACGGTGGCAACATGGGGATAGTCCAGGTGCCAGGTAGCCATAGCTCACCTCGACGCGAGTCATTGGTCATATATAAACTCATACAGTATATCACTACCTAATTGGTGTAAACACAGAAGCAGGCCCCTCGGTGTTAGCTAAAGCCTGCCTCCACTCGCGGATTCACTGTGAACCCGCACTCGATTCAGTGTTGCCATTGTTTTTGACTGAAAGTACCTTTTTTTTAACAAACCTTTATTAACAAAAATAGAATATGCAATGTGACAATGAGGTTACAAGCTCACAGTTGACAACGAATAAGAAAAGTGAGATGTGAACAAAAAAAGAAAACAAAGTGCGTGGGGGACATAAAATAGGTGGGTGTACAGAAAAATACCGATTACAGTAGCATATATCTAGAGAGCACATCAACACAGAAATAGTAATAAATCAGGATCAGATTATCTTAAAGCGGGTACATATTGCAGTAGTCTTTACAGCCTTCTGGTTTTGTGAGAACCGGATAGAGTCCATATAATGCTGGACCTCCACTAAGAAACAGTTAAAGTTGGGTTTGCTTTTAAGAAATTTATATTTATGGATATGAAATTTGGCCAAAAGAAATTAATTAAAAATTAATGTGGTGTTATTTCACTTTCTGCTCACTCAATTCGTTGTCCTTTACCTTTGATTGTGGACACTTTTGCCAGTGATGAAGCTGCCACGCTCAAAGCCTCGAACAGAAAACATGCATCGGTCCACGTTTTCCACCCCCGATCGCCTCGAACTCTGAAAGTATTTGTTTTTTTATGTATTGTGTTATCATTTGACTACATATGACGAAAGTCGATATGTGGAACAGTCTACAGTACACTGAAGGAATATAGAACATTTAACAGTAATATGACAATATGCATTGTACCTCGAGGGCCATCCATGTTTTCCAACACCATCCAAGAAGAAAGAAAAAGCAGTTGAGGCTTTGTTGTCTGCGGCAGCATTGAGATACATGATCTGTAACAAGGATGGCAGAGGCAGAATAGTTTATTTTAATTCAATAGCTGTTTAAATTATCATTCAACAGAACTCATACTTTTCTTGAGAAGCCGTCAATCCCACCAAATATCACAATGTTATATCTGCAAACACGGGACAAATAAAAATTAAATCTGTCTTGTTATTAGGTTTGAAAATGCTGAATCACTTGGATCAAGAATCTATTGTTTGTTTCTATGTTAAGAGAGAAAAGTCCTGAAGAAAACAGAAAATGAAACACACTCACCTGATTAATTTGTGGTTGGTATCCATGTGAACCAAGGACAATGGTGCAGGAACACAGTAACTTCTACAAGCTACAAATCCAAGTTGTATCATCCTAGTTCCAGCTCCATCTACCCGGTGCATCACAGCCTGAACCCTATGCCACTGCACATGGTGTCCTCTGGCGAACAGCTCACCTGTCATCAGCCTAAACCCAGCATGGGGCATTCTATTTTTTATGGACCTCACAAGAACATCAAGTTCATCATCAGACATTTTGGAATAGCACCCACGAACAGACAGGCCATGCTCTTTCATCCGCATGTTAAGTGTTCTTCTTGAAACACCATACAATTGGGCCAAATGTTCTAAAGGAAGTGCAGTGGAAAGTAGATGTTTAAGATCATCAGACTGTATTTCAAGACGAGGGCGTCCCAGATTTCCCACAGCAACAGAAACAATGTCCAATGCATTAGTTGAGTCTCCTCCCGATGATTGAACAGGCAAGTTGATCAAGTCCCAGAGACCGTTCAAAAGTTCTGGTGGGATAGAGATGATGGGATGCCATTGACGCCAAAGAATACTCTTGCTGAGTAACATCCAAAAGGTAATCCAAATCGAGAGATTCCTTTCTGAGAACCAAGCTAAATCTTGTCTGAAACCTCTGTAGGAGCTCCTGCAGGCACAAACATTGCAAAGTAAACAAAATAAACACTAATACACTGCTTACTGATCCTGGCAAAACAATTCCCAATGTGTTTCAGATGTTTCCATACTCAAAACACAACACAAATTAATGGTCAGTTATCAAGCTTCAGCAAAGTCAATAAATGAGCTGGCGTGCGATTTTGCCAAACAAATAAGAGAAAGTCCACGGAGTGGCACAGCATTGCTGAAGCCGTCAGTGCTTTGGGGGGCTTGTTCTGTGTGCGCATGAAGCGGTACAAGCGACAATGCTGCTGGAATTCATAATTTTATCCTTCTCAGCAGCAGCATTGCAGGTGCTCTCCATGTCAAAAATGTGCGTCAGTCAGGTCCTTAGTCAACTTAAAGTTGTGCACATTTTTGTGCTACGTTTTCTTTTATAAATCCCAAAGTTTGTGTGGAAAGTTGCTTACGCAGTTTTCCGTTTTGTGCGTAAGCTAGCTGGTGCTTATGTGACATCTGTTACTAGGTAAAAGTTGTAAATGTAGTGTAAGTGTCTTCCCATAATATCTTATGTTGATTTTGTCTGAGTTATTCCATTAAAAATCTGCAGTTTGACACAAAATGATGCAACTTGAATGTCCATTCACCACCACCCCTGCCACAGTTCAGAAAGTTTGATTTAGATTGTGATAAAAAAAATAAAATAAACAAAAGATTAACTCTCACCTGTGATTGCATGTTAGCAGAGTCCTGCTAACAACACTCTGTTGGCAGAGTTAAAACACAGGTTAGCTCCAGTAGCTACAAACCCTCTGACGTTGCACTGATTCCTATGGCTAATCAGCAAGATTATTAATGGAGGCTGCATACGCAGGGGTGGGGGGTGGGTGATATGCGCTGGTTTAGTTAAGCTACCGTTCCTCGCTTAGCCTGGCGGGTGACCAAGCAAAGCCCTGCTAAAGCATTCGGGTACTGGCTAGCACTTTGGCTAGGTAGCTAACGATCTAACGTCTGGTTAATGCCTAACTTACAAAGTATGACTTGGCTTTACTTAAGGGTTTTAACTCGGGGTTTCTAAGAAAATATCAAATAAACGATCAATACTCACTTTGACACGTCTCTAAACTAGGGCTGGGGGTAAACGATTATTTTTAAAACGATTATTCTGACGATTATTTTATCGAATAGTCGACTATTCTAATGACTATTTAGACAATTAATCTAATGATTATTTTTCTATTGCACAGTTAATAAAAACCAAAAAATCTCTAATAAATTCCTCAAAAAATGTGATAAATTGTTACTGTAAGAGAATAAACACTACAGGCCTTCCATTTTGTATAACACTGTTTTTACTGTGTTGGTTGGTTATGTTCTGGTGACGTGTAGAACTTGGGAGTGCAGGCTGCTGCCTGAGAGGTGGTAGAAGATGGAGTGTCTCCATGCTGCTTTGTTTTGGTCACTTATGAGCGTGAGGCGAGTGGTCTTACGAACCTTCCTGGGGAGTTTGGCTCGTGTGTAAAAAGGAAGGGACAATAACGGGATTTAAAAGTTAAAATGATGATCAGGTTTATTTACAACAACAACAAATCATAAATCTTTCCATCCACAGGTTGGGAATAATAAAACTAATTCTGCCTGTGGGGAATTAAAACAAAGTACAAATAAGTAGGGATCCAAACTCTAAACTGGGCGGTTAAACCAAACTCAGGTGATATTTTAAACTAAACCAAAAACCCACAACACTCTAAATGTAATAAAAGGGAGATCTACGCCACAAAAAAATATGAACTCTAAACCAAAACGTAACAGCTTATCCAAACGCAAGAAGCTGTTAGCGAAAATGCTAACAGTAGCTTTACCAACATTAAGTTCAAGTTACCAAGTTTAAATAAACCAAAACACCCAGCAAACAGACCAGCATGGAGGAGAGACTGCTACCACCAAAACAGCTCTCCTCATGTCTGAAAGAAGCTCCTTTATGAAGGGAGAAACGCTCCCGGTGATGTTCTACATCTGCGATAGACACGAAGCAGCACATCTGACCCCGGAAGTTGTTGTCCGTTGCTGGGAGACGAAGGCGGGCAAAACAGGAAAATAATCTAGTAGTGGACGGACGTTGTTCCGGGTCTTCGGTATTTGGCGGAGATGTTAGTGAAGGCGGAGAAGAGGGCGAACTAGAGGAAAAACAGGCAGATTCCTCCTCTATTTACAAACTCCTGGGGATGCAACAAGTGGGCGCGGTGCGTCGACTTCCGGATCTGACGTCGACGAATTTTTAGAATCGAGCCGTCGACGTAATCGAGGCGTCGCTACAGCCCTACTCTAAACGAAGTAAAATTTTCTAGTGCAGAGTGGAGACAACCCATAGAAGCACTGATTTGATCTCATTTCAGAGAAAAATAGAACAGGTTAGATGCACCTAATAAATAAAATTACAAACTCAGGAATCTGTTTCTTTGCTTCACTGTTCTGGTGCTGAAAATATCACTAATGCGGAACAAAGGAGATACACAGATGAATGCACCTCTTATTTGTTATTTGGAGACTACATTTACTGCAGCTGGCAGAGGCAGAGATTTTTTCTATTGATACACGGAATTCAATTCAAGTTTATTTATAAAACGCCAAATCACGACAAGAGTTGTCTCAAGGCACTTCACATAATAAACATTCCAATTCACAGTTCATTAAGCCAATCAGAAATAATGTTTCCTATATAAGGAACCCAGCAAATTGCATCAAGTCACTGACTAGTGTCAGTGACTGTACAGGTGCTGGCCAGTAAATTAGAATATCATCAAAAGGTTGAAAATATTTCAGTAATTCCATTCAAAACGTGAAACTTGTACATTATATTCATGCAATGCACACAGACCAATGTATTTCCAATGTTCATTACATTTAAATTTGATATT